CATATTATCTGAAATCTGCTGAGGCTGGTAATGCTGTAATAGAATTGCCTAATTCAGCAATTATTCGAATTGGGGTTTACTAGATAAGTATTAATCCTTTTTTTTTGATTCTTATTCAAGACAAGATTATAAAGATTATAAAGAATAAGCTAACTAAGCTTTAAATGGGTAAGAGTTAAACGTGAAGGTCATGTGAAATTGATAAGAAACTTGTTATTCTGGGCAATACTAGCTTTTAAGGTGAACTATGGCACTATTAGGTAATTAAGAGTTAGTATTTGTACTGTATTTTGTCTTTATTTCTAATTTATTTGTACTTTGGTAGATGAGTTGAAGCCGGGTTTGGACTAACTATAGATAGAATTTAATGACTAGGCGGATATTGTTATGCATATGGAATTGGAGCTGAAAAGGATAAAACAAAGCATTATCACATTATCAATAATTGCAAAATAAATATTCTAACGGAATGTATCAAGTTGCCCATTGTTATTATTTAGGAATTGGTGTCAAAATCAATAAGTATAAAGCATTACATATTATCTGAAATCTGCTGAGGCTGGTAATACTGTAATAGAATTATCTAATTCATCAATTATTTGAATTGGGGTTTACCAGATAAGTATCAACCCTTTTTTTTTTTGATTCTTATTCAAGACAAGATTATGAAGATTATGAAGAATAAGCTGACTAAGTTTTGAATGGGTAAGAGTTAAACGTGAAGGTCATGTAGAATTGATAAGAAACTTGTTATTATTCCGGGCAATACTAGCTTTTAAAGTGAACTATGGCGCTATTAGGGTATGTTTTAATTTATTTGTACTTTGGGTATTAATAGTAGATGAGTTGAAGCCAGGTTTGGACTAACTATAGAGAGAATTTAATGACTAGGCAGATATTGTTATGCATATGAAATTGGAGTTGAAAAGGATGAAACAAAGCATTATCACATTATCAATAATTGCAAAATGAATATTCTAACGGAATGTATCAAGTTGCCTGTTGTTATTATTTAGGAATTGGTGTCGAAATCAATAAGCATATAGCATTTACATATTATTAGAAATCTGCTGAGGCTGGTAATACTGTAATGGAATCGCCTAATTCATCAATTATTCGAATTGGGATTTACTAGATAAGTATCAACCCTTTTTTTTTGATTCTTATTCATGCAAGATTATGAAGATTATGAAGAATAAGCTAACTAAGTTTCGAATAGGTAAGAGTTAAACGTGAAGGTCATGTGGAATTGATAAGAAAATTATTATTCCGGGCGATACTAGCTTTTAAGATAAACTATGGCACTATTAGAGTATTTGTTCTAATTTATTTGTACTTTGGGTATTAATAGTAGATGAGTTGAAGCCAGGTTTGGACTAACTATAGAGAGAATTTAATAACTAGACAGATATTGTTATAAATATGGAATTGGAGTTGAAAAGGATGAAACAAAGCATTATCATATTATCAATAATTGCAAAATGAATATTCTAACGGAATGTATCAAGTTGCCCATTGTTATTATTTAGGAATTGGTGTCAAAATCGATAAGCATAAAGCATTTTCGTCAATTATCCGAATTGGGATATACTAGATAAGTATTAACTCTTTTTTTTTTTTTTGATTCTTATTATGAGGGACGATTACAGTCTTATAAAATTAGGTCATGAGAAATGTATATAAATATAAATGTATAAGTAGGGTTATAAATTGTGAAATGTTAGTATTTTAGAGTAGTAAGAATTTATTTACTTCTATATAATTTATTTAGAAGAATTAATTATAATTTGTTAATAAAATTATATATTTTTGTAATATTATAATAATATATTAATTACAGTATATTAAAATATGTTAAATATCTAAATTTGTATAATGATCTATGTTATACATATTTGTTTACTTGTTTACATTTTTTGTTTACTTGTTTATATTTTTTTTAACTAATTAAAACAAATGTCCACCATGCTTCTCTAAACGACAAGCGCTGTAGCATTAAACCTAATATTATCTAAATTACAAGTTAAAACTAACCTAGTTACTTCAATTGGTACCTTGGTTCGCCTGCTATAGCAAGATTTCCTTTCTTCCGGACCCCTTCTTCACTTGGATATAACCTGGCTCTCAACAGTGAACCTTGCTGCCCATCATGACTACCTCCTCTTCTTTCAGACTTCTTCTACCTAAGCCCGACAACACAAATAAAACCCTTATTTATATATAAAAGTAAAAATATAAAGCCATGTTTATGAAAGATATAAATATTTTAGAAAAAAAAATGCTTCATAGCAATAAAAAAAAACAAAAACTACTCTAAAATTCTTAAAATAGTCTAACATAAATGAACAAAGATAAAAAAAACAAAAAAAAGAAAGTAGCCATGATACACTATTATAGCCCATGCCAGGCATAAAGATAAAAATTATATAATAATTACAACTAATTACTATATTTTGATTGTAAACCTTTGGTTTAGCTTTTAGGACTCGTTTTGGGTACTGACTTGACTCGGGTATCTCCTAAACGAGGGTGACAATCTCTTCCTCATATCATAGCACTATATTGATAAACAAAACAAACATGTGGTTGCATTCTACTGAGTTTGTCCAAATTAGATAAGTGTAAACAATGCTGATCTTTTGGAGGAGGTGAGCTAAAATGCCCACTTTTTTGTTAAAATTTTTGGTAAGAACAGCAAAAGGTAAAAAACACAAAAGAGACCACTGGCACTTCTTTAAATGAATGTGAGTTCTAAAGACATTAACAGGTATTCCACAAGTTTGCACAGTACTAAGTTTTTTCGGTGAGTGATAAACTCTAGGCTTGTTGGCAGATAGCGTATAAGAACTATATCTAAATGACAAGTGCCATACTGCCATAAGTGATAAACTCTAAACTTGTTGGCAAGTAGCATATGAGAACTACTTCTAAATGACAAGTGCAGTTTTTCTTATACTCTTTTTCTATATCTTACATTTTTCTTGCAGTACATTACAGTTTTTTAGTTAAAAAGTTTTTTAGAAAATATGGTCCAGATGATCATTAGAAAGAGTTAAAATAATATTTTTTCACATTATTAAATACTTTATTTTGTTTTTGTTTAAATCAAAACAATTCAAATTATTTTTAATTTACTTAATAAGATTTTGGTGCATGTTCTACTATATTTTGTTAGTTTTAATTATTTAAGTATATTAAATTGCACAAGTACAAATTTCTACGCACTATAGACTTTTTTCAGTATCAATTAAATCACAACCATGTGAATTTAGTAGAATAAGTTTTATTTGTTTCACAATTGTCTTGTTATAATAGTAAATATTTTACTTTTATTTGGTATAATTTTAACCTCTTATATATTTATTACTTTAGATTAAAATTTTGAGTACATAAAGATCTAGAATGATTTTTGTAACAATAGAATAATTCACAATAATTTATTTTTGTTTAATTTACTTATATAGTAATCAATTGTTTTTAAGTGGATTAATTATTTCACATATTCTAAATATAGTAATATAAAGTCTAAAAGTATAATAGTTTGATAAAGTTAATTCATTTAAAGTAATTGGATTATATCGCATTGTTTAAGCTAATCCAAAATTATTTTAAAGCAATCTAAAATACTTTTTTTAATTATTTGAAATAATTCACATTGTTTAAGCTAATTCTAATTTATTTTAAAACTATCAGAAAAGGTATTTAATTTAATCAGAGTAATTCGCATTGTTTAAGCTAATCCTAATTTATTTTGAATCGATCATTTATAGAAATCAGATTAATTCGCATTGTTTAGACTAATCCTGATTTATTTTAATCTATCAGAAAATCTTTAATAAAGTCCAACAGTATTTAAAATTGCAATAAACCGATATATGCAAATGTATTTAATATAATAAATTTGATTTAATTAAATAAAGAAATTACTTCAAATTAATTTCAATTCTTTGAATTTCAAATAACAAAAGTAATAATAATAAAACTGATTACTTTAGTAAAATATATACGTAGCTAAGGTGTGGCGACTTAGTGAAGGCACTCAAAAAATCTGTGCCAGGTTTTGTCAATCATCTATCACATGATTATTTTCGGGTACACAAATCTGCAGTCGGAGCCAGTACCCATCGTACCGGTGCATGTATGTGTAACTTTCATAATAATGCCAAAACTATATGTATATCAGCCGTTAATTATTTCTGATCTAATAGAATCTTAATATCCATAAATGATTTCTCCAAGAGCCAAGCTAATTGTAACAAAAAAAATGCTGTAGTTGTGTTTTTAAATTTCATAAGTTTATTATAAGAATCGTCACCTTCAAAAAATATATAGAAGCAAGTCCAGAATTAAACAACACTATAAACGTCTACACTAATTTTTTTTTGGAAGATCTTTTGTTTTAGGCCATTAAAACTAATAAATCTGATCAAAGATCCCTTAAGTTATTATTCTTTTGTTAGATATTAGATGTGTATGTCATTAAAAGGTACCCTAAATTTAAAAAATTACAAATTGAACTCACGTCTAACCGTTACTTTTTCATTAATTAAATCAACAATAAATCAACCGTTTGGTGTATTTAGTTATACTAATCTCGATATATTATATATCTTCCAAACAAAAATCTGATTGGGTAATACCCTTTAAATTTTGGGTACAGACAAAATTAACACAGATGATTAGACTGTCATTTCTAATTTTTTTTATTTTTTTTATTTTTTTTTGATTCATTATTTTTATTTGAAAAAAATAAATGCAGACATTATCAAATTCGTATGATTTCAAAAAATTTTGAAGCTATTCATATTACATATAACAACTGCTATACATGTTCCTAGACATATGAATTCCATTTTATCGAAGAAAATTGTTGCCTTAAGAATAAATTTCATAAACCATTATTTATAAACATGTACATAATGTCAGAGAATTCAAAAAATAATGAACTATTTTATACTGTAAATCGACACTTGCGAATATATAAATAACACCTAAATACTTCATTTGTTAGCTAGGCCATTAATTCAACTGATTTTTTCCGATATTTTGTCCAAGATTATGACCCTTTTTACCTACTGTTCTAATTTTGCGTGCTGGAATTACCTGAGGATTGGTATTTTCTTTATTCTTTTTTCAGTGTTTTACAGATTCAACTTGTACGTGAATTTTTGAACCGCTCTTGACTCGAGTAAGTGGATCGATATTATGATTTATATTATAAAGAAATGAAGTTAATGCTGAAGTAGATTTGGCCTTTGCCACATTATATCGCTCTGCCAATTTTTCAAGTGCAAACTGAAGTTGTGAACTGCCATTTTCATAATTGTATTTGATTATTTCAATAAATAACTCAAACAAGACGGTATTATTTCTAAAAATAAATTATTTTTAAACATTTATAATAGTGTTATAAAAAAAAAAATTTAATATACATACTCTGGAACTGTAATTTGGTCCGTATTAAACTCTTTTGATTCCTGAGTTTTGTTAGCTGCCTGAGGTATGTTGTTCAAAAATTCATTATCGTTATATTTGCGATATTTATGTTGAACATTTGTATGAGTATGCAATGATGCATAAAAAGAAGGATCATTTGCCATAGACCCTTAAAATTATTGATATGATTATGTTAATTA